TGATCTGAATGAGCTAGTGCTTGTTGAGCAATCGCGACAAGTTCTGCGCGATTCTGCGCAAATCCTGAACCAAGACCTCCCAAGGCGAAAGCGGCTCGCACCAGCACTGGGTAGCCGATCTGTGACAGTATCGGTAAATATCATTATCGGTACGATGATCCCGCCAAAAAAATGGAACCCCAACATACCTTTTCGGCTGCTTTTATGGCACCATCTAAAGAGGTTGCGGCATGACTTGGTGCAACCTGTTCACCTATGCTGGTCACTTCCTTGCTGAACCGTTCACGATCTTCGGTATTCATAATGGTCTGGATTGGTGTGCCCAACACCTAAACAAAGATTGTCGAAAATTTGGCCCTCTAAAATCCTCGCAACTGTTTACCCTTTACTCCCGCAGTCTTGCATTCTCCAAAGTCACATCTGGCAGGAAATCGTCTGACAACCGCGCCATAGGGCCGGCGCTAGAATACCCCACATCACCGAATTTCTTAAGAACTTGTCCCATGCGGTAGTTTGACCCCGTGAACAAGAATGTCACATTTGCATGGGGTTGAGGAGGGGCAGGAAAGTAGGTACAAGTGACAGCGGCCTGCTTCTGCTCTTACGCACCTTTCCCATGGAATAGTGGCCCCTCCTCCTGCTCATGCTGAGCCTCAGAAATAAGATCACGCTCGTAGGCAACCAGAATGGGTACTGCTTTAGCGCGCCATGTTTCCTTGACTGCTCCGCACATCGGTTTCACGAAACTGTCTAGAATTCGCGCTACAGGGGGTCAAAAGGGTCTCCAGGTGAAGTCGCCTGTAACGCGGACGTCGGGCGGTTTCGGGCAGATGTGCTATAGGGGTCCAATTGCCCCCTGCAGACGAGTTTTCGGCGAACTTGGTGACTAAAGGCGTCTTGTCGCCGCGACCTGTGGCGTGGGAGCCAGGCGGTTTGAAGTCAGGCGAGGTGATATGCTCATTCAGGAAGTTGAGCCACCTTCAGGGGCAATTTTTAGCCAAATCTGCCTGCAGACAAAAAAGTCAATAAAAACTGACTTTATTGTGGAAGACTGTGGCAGTACAGTACACAGAGGTAGCCTACGGAAGCGAAAGGAGGATCTCGATTGCCGCGCGCGCAAAATCAATATATCTTCACAGCGCACAAGTTAATGAAACGAGCTGGATAATAGTGAAAATAGTGGAGATAGTGAAAATTAAGCCATACGAATCATAAATGTGTATACGTCAACATCTATAGCTGCTTTGAAAATGCCTGTCGTTAGTTAAAGGTCGATTGGGCGCAATTCAATGCAGGTTTGTGCCAAGCGAATGTTATCACAGTATCTCAGTAGGGCGCTCCTTTTTTATCACCTAAAAATACGATAGGATTCCAGTAGAACTCCACTTTGACATTCTATTTAGTTGATAGTTGTTTTGTGATTACGAGACTTCATCAGTAACATCCTCTTTGTAATAGGCAGGAAATAGGTGAAATCTGCGAAACCTTTCGACGTCTGTACAGTGGCAACATTTGGATTAATCAGGACAGTTCGAATTCCTTCTTCTTTCAACGCTTTCAGGGCCTATAGAAACAAACTTAGTGTCCTCAAATGTAATGGTATGATATGATTTTGAAGAGAAATCCCTCATTGAGCATAACTTTTGCTGACCCTCGAATAAGTAACCTACTTGAGCTCCTGAATAATCGAACTCCCCAGCTTGTCCAATTGTTAGACCTCCCGAGCCAAGCACGAGAACCTTTCGCTGCTTTTTTATCTGGTAGCTGGAATCGTAGCGGATAGCTGCCGACAGCCGCTCGTCCACACTGAAGACAAGATAGTATTGATATTTATTCTCTTATATGCTTTTTTAAACTTTATTTTCCCCAGAACTACCAAATTATCTGCACTGTAAGTTGCACAGCTCGCTACGGACTGAGAGGTGCAATCAGTGGCAGAGGTCGTAATGGGAGGGTGGAGGGTAATCACCCCACTCTCGATCTCAGCGCCCCGAGTGGGTAAGCACCGAAAGACCCAGACGCTAATTAAGCCTCCCACTCAGGAACTAATGTCAAGTAACATGCATACACGAAGAAAACAAAAGAAAATAATGTCCGCAGGCTCTAATAGGACTCCTCAAGCCTCAAACAAGAGCGCGAGTTCAAGGCGAAAGGGATGGAGAGCGCAGACGAGCACAGAATTACCAAGTCTTGCCTCGAACAGTCCCTAGAGTTGACAATCCGTAATCAGCTGCTTTATCGCATAGAAAAAAAACCTCGATCACGTCTCAAAGCAACTGACATAAGTAATACAGTCATTGTCACCAAAACCTGTCGGGGCGTGTCAGCGCGGCATGAGTTTTGGCCCCTCACTCATTGAACCACCAAAGATCGACAAAAAACGGCTAGCACTGCTTCAAAGCGCCCGCTGACACACCCCCAACTGCTTCAGTGATAATGACAGCACAACAGTATTACTTTCGATACACTCACCAGCAATCCTCTCCTTTTTTCATCGAATGGATTGCTTCAATAAACACGTCGAAGAGAAATTCACAATCAGCCGGACCTCCGGTATGCTCCGGATGGAACTGGACACTGTAGAACGAAAAAAAAAATCAGAAAATAGGTAAAACGATCGATTCCCATGCTTGAATATCTAAAAAGAATTCCAGCTCAAAGTACCTAAAGAATGGCTTCGACACGTGTACAATGCCTTCATTTGTCCCATCATTTTCGTTCGTAAACAGCGCTCGCCAGCCGTCTGGTAATGTAGTTGTTTCCACCGCAAATCCATGATTCTGTGAAGTTATGAAGCAACGCCCTGTGCCTTGATGGGTGCACGGCTGATTATGCCCTCGATTGGTCGTGCACGGGCTGACCTTATGGACCTCGATTACCGTACCCACCAAACATGTTACACGCGGCGCAACGATCATCTGGGACGTCTGGCGAGACCACAAACCGTATCATTATCAGAGAAAAGCAATAGGAGCACAACAAAGACAAGAAACTTACTTGAGCTTATAGGTTTTAGCTCCGATAGCACGTGCTAACAGCTGATGACCAAGGCAAATACCAAACACGGGTTTCGTATTTTTCTTGAGGAATTCGCTCAGCCTATTCACCAACAGGGTGCATCGTTCTGGATCTCCAGGACCATTCGAGATGAACAGCCCATCAAATGCTGCAAAAAGATAGAAAAATCTGCCGGATTCATAGTTAAAAGAAGGAGCCATCGTTAGGGTGTTCGTACTACCCTCCCCCCCCCCCCACCAGTGAGCTGTAGAGCTAACATGCGGAAAATGAGTACCCACGAGCTTCAAGCTTCAGAAGAGCGCGCTCGGCAAAGCTTGTCGCACCGCCTCTTCCCAATGCCTTGCCCTTCTCACGTACTACAAGTAACATGCGAAGCTCAAGGGTTGCAAGACAGTTGAGGAGATCACGAGACCATATTGGGATGCGTCCACATGTTCAGCTGCCTTCTCTAAGGTTATCGTCTTTGGGTAAGGGTTCACTGAGCCATTTCCATTCAACATTATATGCAAGTAACTCAGCTCGTTATCCCTGCAATATCCTCATTCCTCACCTTCGTTTTCAATGGATGATCCCATGGCACCACTTTTACGCGCACTCCTCGTTCCACCATACACCGAATTTGGTTGTTTTTCATTCCACAGTCCACTGCTAGGACGGTAATTCCACCAGAGCCAAATATTTGTGGTGACTGAAAAAATAACATAATGCCTCAGAGCTTCAGAACAGTACCAGAGAAAGTTCAATGAAGCCAACAAATAAAGCCGTACTTTTCGTGATACTGCTGCCACCAAGTTGGCCTCATTGATGTCACGGAAGGGATATACTGACGGTTCGTCGCCTTCAATTATTATCTGGAACTCATCGCCATTTTATACCTTGGTCATGAAGAGGCTCGTCTTCAGACGCCTGAGCTCACCTTAGCTTTCATGGTTCCTACTTCTCTAATTTTCTTGGTAAGTTTTCTAACATCAATTCCTGCCAAGCCTGGAACGCCCGCTCTACGAAGGAATGAACTGAGCGATTCCACTGCTTCCCAGTGGCTATGTTCATTTTCCGGACAAATTCTGAAAACTATTTACCTGAGCTTCCTGAGCGAAATATCTGACAAACCCGTGAAGCACACATTCCGCGATAAGCAATGAGCGGGGCTAATGGCCACCTTGTCTCCCTCCTTGGCGCGCTGCATTCATACTTTGCGACTCAGCGTTTTAGGACAATCGGCTTGTTGAGGGGAAAGGGTGGTACAGGTATCGATCGGCGTCCAAAACGCCAATTCGCTAGATCCCCAAAACACCAGATCGATACCTACATTTCTTTTTCGCTCAGAGGGGCGATTCTTCCAAAAC